ATAATATTACGAATAGTCTCAGTAATTGTAATTTATTAGATAGTTTCACTCTTAACTTAACATATACACTGACTAAAGATTTTTAAGAAATGAATAATATGATAAATCAAACTGGTTTGATCATGCTCAAAGGAAGTCGTCACTTAATAACTACATCAGATATAAATCTGAACCAAATTTTGAGTTATACCTCCTTGACAAATGTAACTTTTCAGAAGTGGCTCTTAAATTTAAAGCTCGATCAAACTCGCTTGATTTAGAAGGTCGCAAAGAAGCCTGGTCAACTGTAAACACAGGTCTTTGCAAATTATGTAAAAGTGGTTGTAAAGAAACAGTTGTTTTTGAATGCTGTAAATTTAACAATATTAGAGATACAATTTTCCAGGAACTTAAAAATGAACTTAATGAATACAACCTTGATATATTTTGGGATATGTTTACTTCAAGTTTAGCAAATTTTAGACACTATCTTTTCTTTGATGACCTGTCTATCCATAATGAATTTCCCCTTAAATACAATTTGGTTGACACTGATTACAATGATGCAAGTTTCATAGGCGTAGATCCCGGTGGGGATGGGGGATATATCCCCCCAATATTTGACTTTTGACAAGGGGGAGATGGTCCATTGTATCATCCCCCCAATATTTTACTATGTATGAGATAAAATGGAGCTTTCCACACTTCAAAAGACTGTCACAGAAATAATTTCCACTGTCTTATGCGCTTACAAAGATGCAAATTAGCATAATGTTATTAATGTTGATAACAAAATTATTTTATCTGGTACCAATCTAAGCTCTTCGTTTCTTAGATGTTAGGTGTGCAAAGAGAGCCACATTTCACACTGAATGGTGTGTACGACATCAGTAATGTTATGTTAATTCCAAGAATGTTTAAGGTTACCGGTATATCGGTTGATGAGGAATTTATTAATTAGGCCTATATTGGCAAATTGCATCAATTTATTTTGCAAAAACAAGGTTCACAGCTTCAGAGGGAGGGGGCACATCCCCTGTCCGCACGAGGGCACACATTGGCGCTAACACCAGGCGCGTAACAGGGGTCTTGTGTCAGAGTGGGTATTTATTTTTCCGGTTAGTAATTTACTATACCCACCCCACCCCTCTCCCCATATAGAAAACAATACGACATAGGGCTTATCTTATTTATAATATAGGCCACACACGTGTGTTTGAAACTAAATATAAGCATTTTCATTATGGTTTTATTTATTACAAACATAATAGAATATTATTCTTTCACCATCAATACACATTGTGGCCCTTCTTTTAGGTTAAAACGATCTATCTTAAATTTGTCTTTCCTGAGTTTGGGACTATTATGTGTTTAAATAACTTAAATGTGTAAACCTAAAAAAGACCTAAAAAATGCGCGCGAAGCGCGTATAATATTTTTGGGTTTTTTAAATTCCAATTTCGTCGGAATTAATGAGAACTCCCTAAAACGTGCAATTTATAGAGGAAATTTGCCTACCGTAACAAGAAATGCGCGCAAAGATTTTGAGAATTTTAGGCACTTTCAGAGTTTGCATTTGTCAAGAGGTGGGGAAAGATTTTTCAAAGATGGATATTTTCTCCTTGTCCCCCGGTGTTTTTCATTCTAATTGGAATTGATCAAAACTTCCTGAAATGTGTAACTTTTAAAGGAAATTGGGCCATGTTAACAAGAAATGCGAAATTTGAGGTTTTTAGGCACTTTCAGGGGTTGAAAAGGGCATTTATAAAGGGGTGGGGAAGATTTTTCAAAGATAGATGTTTTCCCCTTGTCCCCCAGTGGTTACGCCATCGGGCAACATAGATCAAAGGAGTTATGACAGTTTTTTTAAGTGGAGAAGGGGTTGCAGGATGTTGTGAGTCTGGTCATTATGATATCTTCCCTTTTATTCTTGCCTTTATTTTTCTCTTCTCTTTTAATTTTTCTTTCCTTTTCTTTTCCTCTTCCCCTCCCTCTTTCTTTTCTCTTTATTACCCAGCCTGTAACGACGGCTTGGTCAGCCCGTACCTTTATATTGCTTGGATGAAACGCAGTGAGCTGTACAAGGACCTGTAATATTATACTGAATTTGACTTTGATTCTGCCCTGGTCCGTAGAAAAAGAAAATTAATAAATAAATAAAATAAAAACATAATCCGGTAATTTCACACGACCTCCAAGTACGGGTTTTTTGTGCTGCTCAGTGTGTTCCATTCAGTTTACTTACAAAATTTTAGTAAGAATTTTTTAGATATACAAATAAGGGAAAACTTTACTGTAAATTGCTTGGTTTTGTTTTTGTTATGCTATTTATCTGTTTGTTGTTTTTGAACTGTCTTTTGCTTTCCTTTGCTTATATTTTATATTGTTAATGGGTGCACCATCTAAGTGATGGGTGCCACTGATCTAAAAGTGAACCCAATAAATCGTATCGTATCGTACAGAGACGACAAACAGCGGAGCATCGTATATTCCGAAATTGGGGCCAGGTTTGGCCTCATAGTACGTGCCCAGAGTAGGCCTGCCACGAGGGACTTCGTACATGTAAGGCCGGGCTTAGTTGACTCTTCGAGCCTAGGCTAAGCCTAGCTAAAAGGAGGGAAGTCTCGCGTTGACCTCTCGCCTTGACCTCTGTTCAAAAATTGACTAATGACTAGCCAATTATATCCTGGTTATATAGCTATATAATTCCAGGTTACCGCTCTGGGCTCCAGCTAGTCCAAGCGCCTTTGCTTACACAACTTAAAACCAACAAAGCAGAATTGAATTATTACGGAAGCACTAATTGCCATTCGTCTAGACGACTTGTCAAGATAATTTATGTTATGTCGAAATCAACTATTTTGCCAAGACGACATACTAAAAATGTTATGTTGTCATGACGAGATAGATTATCTTGACAAGTCGACATAATAAAAATTATATGTTGTCATGGCGAGATAGATTATCTTGACAAGTCGACATAATACAAATTGTATGTTGTCATAGCGAGATAGATTATATTGTCCAAGTCGATATAGTAAAAATGTTATGTTGTCACGGCGAGATAGAATATCTTGTCAAGTCGACATGGTAAAGATGTTATGTTGTCATGGCGACACAATTTATCTTGCCAAGTCGTCATAGTAAAAATGTTATGTTGTCATGGCAAGATAGATTATCTTGACAAGTCGACATAATACAAATTGTATGTCGTCTTGGCAAGATAGTTGATCTCGACATGTCGACATATGTACATGATGTCGTATCGACAACATAGATTATCTTGACAAGTCGTCAAGTCGAATGGCAAATAGTGCGTAAAGATATTATTACACGCGTAATTGCCACTTGCGAACAACATTTTTTTTTGTAGGTCTATGCCATGTATTTTGACGAAGATTTATGAATATTGCTAATTGATGGACGATACGACATTTGGATTTAGTGGCCTGTCATTGTTGTGTCTTTGTATTTAGTTTTTCGCCATAACATTTTGAATCATTGGAACTTCCATGTGAACAAATTCATCAAAAAATGAAATCATAATTTGACCCGAGTCAGCATCCTAATTGTTGAAAGCAAATCAAAATTTGTAACCGTTAATGCTGTCAACAATTAAAGACAAAACACTAAATCATTTCATTTTTACCAAGAGTGTAGGAACATTAAACCCGGCCTAATTAGGTAATATGTTAAGCTGAGTGATAAGCCTTGTCTATTTATACGAACCACGCCTGGCTTGTTTGCATAATTTAGATCACAATTAAATATTTGGATGAATTAACGGACAATTAAATAATACATAACTATACGTTCTTTTGTATAGAAAATTAAAATCAATTTTAGGATGTTTGTGGTAAAACTCTATAAATCTGTTCTGGTTGGAAATTAGTTACTAATTTGATCTGTTGTGCTATGAACATCAATTTAATTTTCGAGGTTTTTCAGAGTTTTCGACAGACATTACACATAAGCTGGGTTTAAACATTTAATAGGTTTCAACATATTAGAGCCGTGTGTTGTGAATCGCTGCCTCAGAATTACAACTGAGACGGTGGTCAAATGGTTTTCCCCAACAGCTGATACAAACTAATATACCGTATTATTCGTATAAACGCCACGGGCGTTTATTATTGAGAAGAGTTTTTGAGTGGGAGACTACTAGAGGGAGGCGTTTATTCGAGATATGTTTATTTATAAAATGGATACTCAAATAAACGCCCCTTAATTTGACTGTAAAAAAATGTGGGACTACAACACAATTACTGTCAAATGCGTTAATGTCTGATCATGAAGACTTATTGATCCCAACAAGGTTAGAAAAAATGTAATTCTACTGGAGTGGAACATTAATAGACTGTGTTGAAAATGAGGTTGCTTTGATTAAAATTCTTTACAATCATTTAGGCAGTGTTTGTTCGAGGGAGGCGTTTATTTCAAAATGAGGCTCTAGAGGGAGCGTTTATTCAATGAACGCGTTTATTCAAAGCAGGGTGTTTATTCCAATACATTATGGTGTGCAAATAACAAAACCAGAGAAAAACTAAACTTACTATGCGTGTAAAACAGAACATAGTCTTTCCTCATTGCCTCAGGTAAAGTCAGTTATATAAGAGACAAAGATAATAAACAAGCATAAAAGCAACTATGGTAAACAGATAAATGTATAGTTTTGTTTATTATTAATAGACTTACAAACAACATGCACGTAAATAGAAACAGCAGTTCTATGTTTACTAAATAGAAAAATGTGTTTTAATCTGTTCATTCTGAGTCATATCTAGAGCAGTGAAAGGAATACGATTACAATGAAGATACTGTAGGTCAACTTCATCTTGTTCGCTTTCTCTTAACTCTATGCTGATTGTCATTGGGAAATGGTTGTTTGTTTCCAATTCTATTTCTATCATAAACATCACTAACAATGGATGCAGAGTCACTTGAAGAGTTCGCACTTCCTGCATTGTTTTTATCCAGGAGATGCTCCATATGATTAAGTCTATGTTCTCCCTCATCATCCGCCTCATTCAACTCGTCCTCCTTTTCATTTAGGATTTCTTGGTTCTCTTCTTCATCCATTATTTCTTCCGGATCATGACATTTCAGAGCATCCTCCAAGTTGACAAGTCGTTCGTTCAAGGCACAAACTGTAGCTTTAATCTAATACAAATGAAACAAATAAAGCTGAATCCACACTATCAATTCAATTTTCAATTTAAATAATATTCAATTTAATATTTATTTGCTCCAAAAGTCGGATTGGGCTATTAAGTATTATCATCTGCTTAATACAAGAAACATTACATTTACATTCACGAATATACACATATAAATATATAGAAAAAAAAACCTTTTACTTTTTTCTGAAATATCTATTTTGTCGTGGTGGCAGGTGCAGTAGTTAGACAAAAATAAAAGTATAAAAGTTTAATTTTATTCAAAATTCTCGTTTTTGGTGGGCGGCGGGTTCGCTAAACATATAAAAAATGTCTCGTCCTATGTGCATATGGAAGAAATTAATATTTGAAATGATCGGTTCTACAAGGAGGCAGTAAGAAGGTTGATTGTTGGTGATTTCTAAGAGAGATAGAGGTTTGAGGCAGGAGGAAATCTTAATTGAGAATGTGATTCAACAAAAAATACGTCAATGTGACAAATACATGTGATATGCCCACATGGGCATGATATGACATCATCATACCCTTCTTTGGATGTGGTGTGACATCACCATACCCATATATGGGCAATTAAAACAAATTTGTTGTGAAAGTGTGGATAAAGCTTTTAAAATTGTATACAATCTTATAAACATTAATTTCCTACCAAATTAAGAAAAGCACACACTACCAAAAGAGGGCAGTATTCAACATAATGTGGTGATAATTGTGCCATGTAAGGGTAAGGCTTGATATATGGGTACAGGATCTGGACCAATTTAGATACCATATCTGGAGGGGGGAGAGTACTTGCAAACCTTATATTGATATTATCATAATAAATAGTAAAAATCCATCAAATACAACTCCCCTCCAATACAGATACAGAAAACTTTATTTCATCCTTCAAGAGGTATTGTTTAAGCTTCTTGTGCTGATGACCTTGATTCAAACCTGGCCAGCATTGGGTTTTAATTCTGGTAGAATAAACCTCCCATGAGAAGTAGGCGGCATAAGCGATGCTCCTCCCTTTACTCCTACAAAATGAGTGTTGAGGGGGTAATCTAGACTAAACAGGAGCGACCGCTCACCGGTCCTTGCGTTCCTCTATGCTTAAATACGGTACAGGCGCAAGTTGTTATATTGGGTTTTTTGGAAGAGCTTATACGATATAAATTTTTAAATAATTAGAATGCTTATTTGTACAAAAAAAATTATTATTTAGAATGTTCATTTGTACAAAGTTATATCTTAAAATTGCATGATTCAAACTCATGACCTTAGGTTTTTTAGAACACATCCCTAACCGACCGCGCTATCCATGCGACATGCTGTATTAGTGGTACAATAATGGCAGTAATGTACAGTCCTTGCTAAAACCCCTGTTTTGATTTGTAGGTGTAGAGGGAACCCTGGGGTCCAACTTAAAAAGAGGGCGATGAACGTTTGTTGAATTTCACCTTCATTTATGTGACTAAATTTTCTGCACGTCTGTGGACGCTTTTAAAATTCTAGCAACAAGAACAAAAACAAGAAAGGACAGCAGTGAGGCTCTTCGGTCAATGCCTTCAGCAGACCCATAAATAAAAGAATGTCTCCAATTGGGAGATTAATGATTCTCCTGTATCCTTAATAATTCAATATTTAATAAGAGATGACACAAACCTTAAAGAGATCATCTTGTAAAGCTCTAGATGATGGCATGTCAAGCATATCACCGGTATCAAAATCTCCCACCTGCTCTCCACTTCCAACTTGATAGCTAACAAACATTCAAGATTAAGATTCAAGATTCTTTATTTCTGTCGTTTCGGAAAATCAGTTAGTACATCACATCACAAAAGCAAAGTGCAGGATTAATACAAAACAACAGCAATATAATTATAATTAGGTCCTAAAACTTATTTGATATTGACTAAGAATTCTAATGGGTGGTACGAATGAATTGAGATATCTATTTGTTCTACAGGTTTGTGATTTAAAACTTTATACCCAAGGGTAGCCACGTAAAATGCATTTAGTTTAGATGTGTTTAGTTTGATATATTAATATTGAAGATAAAAAACAGTTTATTACACATACTGTAATAGCATTATTCAATAAAAATACAATTTAAAAAAAGTTTCTAATAATAATAACAATAACTATTGTAAACAATAATAAAAATGCAATAATAATAATGATGATGAAAATGATGATTAATGATGATGATGATAATAATAGTTTATCATCATGATCATCCCCACTACCAGTTTTGCTGTCACACTCTTGTCACTGTTATTCTCCTCAACCCGTTATTGATATCACCACTATTGTACATTCATTGTTTGTATGAGGTTTGTATCATTTGTATTTGTTTGTTTGTACAGAGGTCAGTTCCTGTTACATGTAACAATTATAAAATTATTAAATTATGTTTCAAAAGAATGGACACACTACTGTAGATACTTGTATTATAATCAGTGGCATACCTATGAACTGTCTCTTATACACATCTGGAGAGTACTTGTAAAGCTTGGGGACAAAGGTGAAGTGGGGGCACGATGCCTAAGTGAGGGAGCAGTAGCTCGTAAAGGTGATATTGATATAAGGTGATTGTGGTGTTTTTTGCTTTTGAAATTTTTCAGTTGGGGGCCACTGGTTGTTGCAATTCTTTTTAAAGGGAGTATGCGCCTCCATGCTCTCTCCTAGATACGCCACAGACTATGACGGTATTATCATTACCTCTGTATTTTGGGAATATCCAGCGTGAACACATCTCTTAAATTGTCCAAATGCCTTGGTGTCGTTTGATAAACCCGGCCCAGTATCTCATCACACATAACACAGTATAGTTCTCTATATGTACTGCAAGCAGGAGTAAAAACGAACATATGTACTGTGTTTTGTAAGTCTCAGTCTCATACAGTGAAGACTGGTTTCCATACAATCGCTAACAGTGTTCTACAGTGTTTTCAGTGTAATTGTTGTAATGTGTGGCGGTCTCCAAATCAATGGGAAAGGCTCCCCGATTCGACTGACCAATCACCAAAAGCTGTTGCCGATAGCGTGTATCAACTGTATGGAAACCAAGCTTAACCCGTTAACTCCGTACAGTACGTTACGCTGAGTTCACAGTGCAAGATAGAAAATTTACATATGTAACAAAATCAGTTTTATAGAAGTCTTATTTTACATTATATTAACTTGTAATTCTGCCAAATTATGTTTAATTTTTTTGTTCACTGTGATGTACAGTATGTAGGCCCCTATCATGCAAATAAATAAAAAAAAAAAAAAAAAAAAACTTTTATGGAAGCCTATCATAGATTCTGTGTGTTTTAGTTGCCCTTTGGAACAATTCACCAACCATCGACAAGAAACTAACATCACTACATTCAAACAACTACTCAAAACACATCATTCTAAATTACATTATTCCAGATTCTTAATTAGTCCATTGAGGCTTTTAGCAAATGAGATCAATTAAGATTGACCAATTATTATTTTTAAAACAGTGACAGAAACCTATAGATGTCTGTTTACTGAACTGTACCTAATACATGTATAAAGAAGGAATTACAATGTTAACTGTACCTTCCAATATCTATTCCTTTCTCTGATGTAACTAAGCATTGATGACTGTCTACTACATTTGTGACACCTGCAAATTAAACAAAAAAACAATGACATTTTAAATGTTTAAAGAGAGTATATTACTTAACTTAAAGCACTGTTATTTACTATCTTATATAACTATTTATAGACTCTTGATAAAGATTTTACAAAAGGAAGGTCTGCCTATAAATGCATTTCATCAGTGCTGTTGAGTGAAAAATTGCTCAGAAAATAGATGCACAGAATTATAACTATTTTCTGAATATTTAGAAAGCCTAATATTCTGCAAAATTTGCATGGAAATCAGCCCTTAATATTCTAGACCTAAATGTTTGCGCAAGAGATACAGGGGTCCCACCCAAGTCTCCAGCACACACCAGTCTCCTGGAAATAGGGACAACTTCCCACACTTCTGCAAGCAAGGAAAAATCACCCAGGAAATAGCCCAACTCTCGCAAATTTATAATATTTGAGCACGTTTTCAGACACTGCTTCATTATCAATCATTGGCCAAAGTCAGAGCCGATATGGTACCACAATGATGTGTAGGAAAATAAATAATGTTTAACATTAAGAAAGCTCATTATTCAGTTTAGTGACGGACTTCCACAGGAGCAGGTCTGGCCCTCTGGGCCTCCTAAATTTGTTAAAAATTTAAATTATGAAAAAAAAATGGAGAAAAGAAAATTTTATTCAAACAAATTTGAGTCTGAGGAGAGTGCCTGCCATCGCATCTTACAAGGTGGTGCTTGTTACAAGCACCACCTTGTAAGATGCGATCAAGCACCACCTTGTAAGATGCGATGGCAGGCACTCTCCTCAGACTCAAATTTGTTTGAATAAAATTTTCTTTTCTCCATTTTTTTTTCATAATTTAAATTTTAAATTAAATTTTAAATTTAATTACAAGCAGCTTGTAGTAGTTAATAGGCCGAGCTAGGCCTAGCCTTCATTCACTGCTGACACTCAAAATAATTATAACTCCATGCACTATTCACGACACAGCCCAAGTAATTAGGCTACGTTAAGTAACTGCTAGGCCCAACAGACCTCCTCCCTTTTTACTTTCTTGTCTGTTCGTCCTCCTACCTACCTAACCTCGGCCAGGCCTACTCATTCAATCAATATAATGACGACGCCTACTTACGCCGCAGAGTTACTGTTTTAAGATCTTTGTTTCCACACACCCAGGAAACAGAGTCACCAAGTATATTTCCGCATTTTAAACATTGTAAAACTATCGGATAATCTGGTTCTGTGTCGTCTTCATCAGTTTTGTTTTGCAAATCTACAGATGCCATGACAAATTTCTTATTTTGTTTCTTCTAGTGTCAAAATTTCCCGGGTTAAAATGGTACAGTTCACGTTATTATAATTGTAAACTTTGACCTCTAACGTGCGATTAGGGAATTTCCCTTTGCAACATGATCATCATCTCGATTTTAAACGAAATAAAACAATTTTTTTAAAATTTGCATTGTAATATTTTCAATATATCTTTTGAGTAAAAAAACTATTCAGCTTATACGATCTATCACCACACCAAAATCACTGCATAAATGGCATAAAAATTCATAACCAGCATTTAAAATTATTTTAATTTTTAATCACTGACCTGGATCCACCATTGATCTGTGAGGTCACTTGGTTGCGCTTCTTGCTCGCCGTGCCAAGGCGTACATGTACCTGAAATTCTTGAATGTTAGAACTAGGCTTAAAATCCATATTTTGATTTAGTAAATAATGGTTCTATTAAATTTGAAGTTTATGAAACTGTGCTTGCGTTCGCGCTCTTTTTATAATCAAGTTTCTAACTTCTCTCTCTGGAGACTCTGTCTTTCTTCACCCAGGCAGCCAAGAAGAACTCAGGCGGTGGCGGTAGCGGTAGCGCCAGCGGTGGTAGGTCAAGATAAACCTTCATTCTGGGGCCTAGCAGGGCTAGGCCTAGGTGCAAGCCTAACGGAATGTCATTTGGTTGAAACTAATTCTCTAGTTTGTACGAGTGAACAAATTGCTGATAACAATATTAACAAAATGCTGTACAAATATGAGAAGACTTTTAAAGGTGGCTGGTGGAACAGACCAACAACAAGGATAGGCCATAACCACCTCAACAATGCACTGCTTCAACACATTTTGAACAACACCAGCAACAGTATTTTGACAAGGAATAGTTGCGTCAGTGCGTATCATTATGTTTGTGTACGAAATTATGCATCAAGAAAAAAACGGCAAGTAAACAAACAACCTGATACTTATAATGAATCAGATGAAGAGGATTCTGATGATTCGGAATATTTTGATACAGATGATGATAATGAGGACGTTGATGCTTTGCCAAAAGGCTGGAAAGATCTTGTACAGGTTGTCCCCTCTCTTCGGTTAGATACCGTTCTAAGCGCAGGGCTTGGAATTGCTAGAAAGTAAGATTTTGACTTCAGATAATTAGATTACAATACTCAAGTCAAGTACAGTAGGCCTACCTCATCTTATAGGCAACCTTGAATTTTGTATGTGACCTGAGTTGATATGGGCCGAGTTGTTTAAAGGTGGCACGCACTACGTAATCCGTAACTTATCATAATCTGGACATTTTGTAAGCGTGCTTATGTTTTGGAACCTTGATTCCTCTTCACTGAATCTGTCTTTTTCGGTATTGAGTAATTATTTGGTACATATTACTACTTGGGTAATATGCTACACAGTATATTTAGTTTGGGTTTAAAAGAGAAGTATGTAGCATCTGGTTGCATAATTGTGGGCTTATGTAATGTCGACATCCTGTTGGTGTCAATTGGGCTGACTTAACCGATCAGCCATCAAACAGTGTTAAAAAGTCAGCCACCAAATTTACAGTAAGTTTAAAGGAAGTTGAAGATGCAGCAGATTGTTTATTATTAGGCAAAAAAATAACAAAAATATTATTGCAGTTCACTATTATATTAAAAAGCTGTTTTCCTAATGTTTACTTTTGTTTCCAGAAAAGTTGAAGATGCATTTCTTTCAAACAAATTACGGGTTAACAATGAGAAAATTTCAAAGAAGAGCAAAATGGTGAGTAAGGCTATTAAATGTTTGTAAAAAAGAATCTTTAAATTTACTAAAATTATATAAGTGATTACAAATACAATGAGTTTTTGTTGTGAAAATATACCACCTCTGAAGCTAATGCTTTGCTCAAGCGCATGTTCTTGCAAAAATTATTTCCCTACAGTAGTACTGTACAAAATCTTCAGTATGACCCTTAAATTGGCTTTTAACAAGCTTAATTGTGTAGTAAAACATCACTAAATCAGTGAAATTGTTTTTGTTCTGATCTGTATACCTGTACACAATTTTTTAACAGAAGCGGTTTGGCGTAGCGGGAACGGTTTGGTTTCCCAACCTCGAGATCAGGGTTTCAATCCCTCGCTGTGCATTTCGCTTGTGTCCTTGAGCAAGACACTTTATCTGCATTGCTTCTCTCCACCCAGGAGTATAAATAGGTACCTGGTGGGGTTGCCTGCTCCTGCGCTAATTACCAGCAGCAACACTTAACATGTGGACCCAATAACCAGGGAAAGGAACTGCACTTTATAACCGCAAGGAAGAGGCTCATTATAAATGCCCTTTGCCAGTACCAGTACAATGTGTTTATTAGGATTTCATATCTTGTAAGGATGTGGTGTTTATTAAACTTCAGTAACATAATACAAGTCATACTGAATAATAATTATTGATTTTTTTTTTATTCTGTGTTTGTAAGCCAGTCTTATTGCAGCAGACAGACATCCCCTAAAGCTCTGTCCACCATATTCAAATTTTCTATCAAAAAACTGTTGTATGCCCATATATAGTCATGACGTGCCTATATATGGTCATAATGTGATGTCATGACCATATTTAGGCATGTCACATGTTTTTGTCAAATAAAATTTGATAGTCTGAACAGGGCTTTAGAAATAAAACTATGATAAAGAATAAAAGTTGATGAGCCGCTGAAGCTGTTAACATATTTTGCAAAGAATCCAAAGCCAAATTGATGTGGAAGGGTAGGAAATTCCCCTTCTGTCACCCACTGTTGTTGCTGCACACATAAACAATTTCATTTTGTGCATATTGTTGAAATTGACTACCTAGCAAGTTAAAAAAAAGACAACTTGAACTGAATATCAAATATTATTAAAACATCTAAATAGATCCTTGTCATTTGATTAGTGGATTTCGTATCACGTGACATTAGTTATTTACGCCATTTCGTCACTCATCAGGGAAATTTAATTTCATCCGTTCCACTCGTTTCGCTCTATTGCACGGCACCTAGGATATGATATGACTTTAATCAACCTAATACAATCTTTTGATTATTTGAAGACGCTGGACTGTTCCGTTTAGAAAGGGTAGATTTTTTCAGAAAATATAATATAACAAGAATCTATTTTACACTTGTATTATAAAACATATATTATTGAATGTTTTTTATTTGTGCAATGGAAAAAATATTTTCATTTGTTGGAAGATTGATTGTTCCATTCAACAATGAAACATTCATCAACTCATGAAAATATTCTTTCCGTTGCACTTTATAAACATTCATTATTTGTATAGTAGGCCTATTTATTCTGCATTTCCATAATTGCTTTTTTATCAGATTTTAATAATATTTATACTTTAATTTGGCAGAGAAACTTTATACAGCAATTAGTTTCCTGTTTGTTTATCCTGCCTCTGATTTTAGGTCTATTGTTATTTTTATTGTTTGAAATGAAATGAAACGCTATATCGCCTGGTTCACTATTTACAGGTAAAGGCAGGTGATGTCCTCGACATTATCAGAGATGGAGAAGACAAAAAAGATGGTACGGTTATGCGGGTAATTGTACTGAAGATTGCTACAGAAAAGACAAGTAAAGATCGAATACGTGTGAAATTGCGGCGATGGAAAAAACTTGATCTAAAAAACGCACCAGCCAACAGCTAAATCATTGATAACTTTGGAACATATTTTCATTAGACTTTAAAAAATGTGAAATACAGTACCTTGAATTTGAGTTTATCAGTGAAATAGAATAATATTCATCTAGAAAAGTTATTTTTTAAAACCGCAATCGCACTGGACTTATATTAGTAAAACTAACCAAGATGAGCAGCCCAAAGAAACTTTCTCTCAGGAAACTTGTCGATACGAGCAGTTAGTTTGATCGAGTGGATAGTACCCAGTAGGCCTAATCTGATCATGCATCTCAGTTAAACTTCCTACAGTAAGTCTTTCAAGTGCTACACAATGGAGATTTCACGGATTTGCACCCACAATAGTTGTGAATTTTGAATCAACACTATGCCCATGCAAAATTAGGATGTTTTAAGATGAAAATTTGATGTTTTTAATGTGCTAGTAAAGCCAGATGTAGTTCTATGGATAATGCACCTCCATAATACACGCGCAGTGGATCGTTTTTAACAGCAATCCGTTCAGACAGTCACTGACAATCTGCAGGTGACGGCACGTTGTCTAACGCTCACAGGAAACGGACTTGGATTCTTCGGCCGACGGTCGTACAATGCAGCGGGTCCCTGGCTTAAAACATTCATTATACTGTTTCTTTACTGCTTTACAGTATGCTCAGTTTTACTTTTAACTGTACTTTTACAGATAATCCGTGTCAGGTCAAAACAAGGGGTTATTAGCAAAAGATAAAATATTTATTTTCATGAGAAACAATATTGCCATAAGGCTGCATATGGCCTGCGGGCTGCACTTTGCCTACCTGGTGACTTAGGGCCTAACCCTAATCCATATAAAAATAATTAATATTAGTTTTGTGATATGCATGCCATGGTTTGAAAATAATAAAGATTCTTAAAGGACACCTGTAGATTTATTTGTATGTTGATACTCTCCTGACCCAGTTTTGATATGTGGACCCTCAGCCCCAACCATAGTGGGGCTCAGGCAGTTTTCATCCTCCACCACCTGTGAAAATCCCTCCCTGGCCCCTATTTCCCTGATCAGCCACAGCAATTGTTTAATTTTACATGCCACCAATTTTCTTAGATTAGTTTAGAACAGCTACTGAGACCGAATATGCCCCTCTTAAAGTTACGAATCCGATTATCATTAATATTTATTACTAACCTATGCCTTTAAGGCGTAAGGGGGAGGGAAAGACTAGAAATTCTTACGATGATTTTTCTGAGAACTTTAGGGAATCCCCCTATAACAACAAATGGGCCTGGCAATTATCCTTGCACTGGGGTTCTTTCACACCTAGCTACGCTGCTGGGTTAGGATAAAGTGAGTCAGAGTGCCAAAGTGAATTTTTTATTTAACGTTGAGAGCTGTAACCGAACTTTTACTGAATAGACCTTATGCACTGCTTTTATACTGTTTTATGTTCAGTTTAAATTTTACTTTTTACACACTCTTGGTGTCTGACAAAAAAAAAGTCTACTTCGTGAATACTTACCTGGATAAACCGACTAATTGCCTATTCTTTCTCCCTCGAGAAACACCCCTCGAAAATAATAGAACAGTCGACAAGCGGCCCCGCAACCATGCAACTTCCTCATTCTTTTTCGATCGTTTGAAAGTTACACCGTGTTTTACGGGGCTGAGGCTATCGGCACTGCCGCAGTGCGAAAAAAAGCTGCTGTTTTCTATCGGCACTGCCGCAGTGCCAAAAAGCTGCAGTTTTCTATCGGCACTGCCGCAGTGCCAAAAAAGCTGCTGTTTTTTTCTATCGGCACTGCCACAGTGCGAAAAAAGCTGTTATTTTCTATCGGCATTATTGCCGCAGTGCGAAAAATGCTCCGATTTTCTATCGGCACTGCCGCAGTGCCAAAACGCTGCAGTTTTCTATCGGCACTGCCACTCGAAAAGCTGCTGTTTAATTATCAAATGGATGTTTTTACCTATAGATTATGGTATCAATAATTGGTTATGTCTAGCCTAGCCTATAATATTGTTAACATTATATTATATATGTTTTATAATTAAATTATAATTATTTCTAATTATTAAATATATACATAGCCTATATCTAGGCCCATACATAAAACAAAAAAATAAAACAACAAAAATTTAAAAAGAAAATAGTAGTAATAATAGTAATAATAATAATAATAATAATAATAATAATAATATAATAACAGTGCTCGAAATGAATAAAAATTGTTTAATTAATGAGATGAATCAGCATATATTAAATCAACTTGCGTCTATGCAAAACCTGTTTTTTTTTTAAATAAAGGTGTTATCT